CCCTCGTTTGGCACCCATTTTTTTTCTCATTCTCATTCTTTTTCTCTTTCTTCATTTCAACTACACATTCTATCAATAAAATAATATTACACATAAACCTAAAAATTCTCCTTACATTTTAACCACACATTTGAAAGTTGAGATATTGTTTGGATTTTCATTTGAGATATGGTTTGCTAAATTGATTTAGTATTGTATTGTGTTGTGGGGAAGAATGAAGATATCTATGCTAGTAAGAGACTCGACCTATGTTTATAATATTGTTTGTTAAATTCGAATTTTGCATTTAGAAGTTGAGATATTGTTTGCATTTTTATTTGGGATATCGTTTGTTAAATTGGCTTAATATTTTGTTTTTGTTTTACTGACTTTTCTTCATAATTTTTCTTTTATCACTTTGACATTTGGAGTTTGGACTTATAAANACGGTTGGAGTTTGGACTTATGAAAGATAATTTATTTTCGTGGTTATTAATCGAACCGAACTAGTCGAACTGAACCGACTTACGTGGTTATTATGCGGTTATGATATGACCAAAAATTTGGTGGTGCGATTATGGTTTTGGCCGAACCGACCCTGAACCGAACCATTGTCATACCTAGGAATGCCTAATGGACGTCCATGTGTCCTCTATATAGAGGATGAGGGGTTGTAAATAAAGTGTCTCATCCCAAACTCAACAACTCTTGCCAAAGGTCGCATCAATCATTATCGCTAGTCTGTCGCCATCGCCTTCGCTCGAGCAATAAAAATTGTGACTTTGCACTTAGGCAAATTTCCAACAGTTTCTTCTATTTTCTTTCCAATTTTGAACCATAATTTCTCATTCATCCGAAATTGATTTTGAGATTTCAAATATACCATGACGATCTAATTGACGAGTAGAACAAATTAATCTATTTACATTTGTAATTTGACCATCAGATCAAGTTCGAATATTTGGACGAAGTTCTCATTTATCCAAGTTTTTGGTTTTGACACTTAACCAAAATTTTCAATTTTCTAAACCAATTTCCGACACTACTTAAATTAAAATGTGAATATAATCACGTAAGCACATATACATGGACATAATAAAGAAATGAACTTGTACAGTGGTGCATGCATAAAGGCTTGAAAGTATTCTTGAACCCTTTGCCGAACTTTACTCCCCACAACTCAACAATTACATTTATTTGTTCAACACTATACTTCGATTTTGCCGTTCTAAAAGGAACATCAACTATTTATATGTTGTTGAATAGAAAATACAGGATTCCAATCATTGATAATTTTGACCATCCAATTGTTCTCGAATGTGTCCGTTCAACGATGTAATAATATAACAAAAATATCATAAAATAATCAATTAAAGATACAAATCACGCCTTGACAAAATTATCGGCATAAGCTTTCATTGTAAGCTAATCCCAAAATCCAGCCTTAGTCAAATAAGCTTTCAATTTTATAATCCTCAACTAGTTGGATTAATGGATTGGATGATTCAAAATGATAACATAATGCATAAGTCGTTACAAGAAGTTCTAAAATGCATATACCTATAGAATAACATCGAATTACCCTATTTCCTTTAACTTATAATTCAATAGATACTTTTATGAATATCAACTAAGTATCTAAGTAAATTGCTCTCGGATGTCCATAATCAAAGTTATTCATTGATAAATGATAGCAATGATCAAATGCTCATATTGGTGACATTGTTGCTGTGATGAAAGAAGCATTACCAAATATGGCCCTAGAAAGATCAGAAGTATTATTATTTTTTCTATTAATTCTTTTTCAATTGAGATGTATAAATCATATTCATGCATATAACGTAAATGTGCAAAAGTTCTATTTTCGTTAAAATTCACATCGTAATTTTTTTAATGTGATGCATAAACAAATTTTTTTTTTTAATTTGTTAAGTTGAATTAAACAACTAATAGAGAAAAAATTTTACAATTAAAATGGAGTTCAATTTAAAATTGCACACATAATTCATATTATTTAACACACTCAATTTATACCTACTCACTAGGGCTGGAGTGTTTGGTTCAATTTTTTATCTAACCTAAATTTAACTCAACTTGGTTAGTTTGTTCCAAAATCAGCCCAGCCCAACCCAACCCAACCCAACCCAAATCGATCATTGGCCGATTTGGGATTGGGTCCAATTCAAATTTAATCTGGTTATTTTTTGTTGAATTTGGACAATTTTTTAAAATTTAAAACCACTTGAAAACTTTATTCGTTTTTAACTTATCCAAAGAATTCTTTTTGAAAAATAATGTATAAATAAGTGTGAAACTATGAAACATTTTCTTTTTACAATTTTTTTGGGATTTATTCATCTCATTATCACGTTCTTAATTTTTAGTTTATCGTCAAATTATTTTACATTTGTACATAGTATTCATGTCAGTTAATCTATGTAAAGAGGGACGTTTGTACATTCCAAATCCTTTTCTTGTCTCCAATATTATGTCTATTTAGATTTTTTTTTTTTTTCATTTTAGGTATTAAGCTTTTTAATTCATTGAGTTTGGTTTAGTTCATAACGCGAGAACTAATCAAATTCGATCTCAAATTTGATTTTCCAACCTAACCCAACCCCCAACTCAAGCCAACCTTGTTGACTAACACGTAATATGTTTAAAATAACTTTATTATTTTATTTTAATTTTGATAACCGTGGATGTTCGGGTCAGTTTGCGCGCATCTCGACTAATTCCACGGGATCCTGAAATTTACGGCCGGGTACTCACCTCAGTGGTCTTGAGGGGACTCGAACTGATAATCATTGGGGAGCAAATATGTTTAAAATAACTTTATGTAGAATTTTCATGTGTTACTTGGAAGCATAGTTATAAAACATGGCACCGCCCGGCCAGTCAAATAGGAAAATTGGCTGCCCGGACCCTTAATTGGGTTGGACAGATTAATTTGATAAAAATGTACTTGACTCGATCAAAATCGAGCTTTGGCTGAATTAACCGGTGTTTTACCGATTCGATTGACCGATTTTATTGGATTTTGAATTTCTCTTACAAAATTTTTGGGTTCAAGGGAATTGAATCTTGAACCCATAGTTATTAGATTCGACCTGAACATCGATTCGAAGAAAGTTGAATTCCTTTGGACCCAAAAAAATTTGCAAGAGGATTTCAATATCCAATCAAACCGATTAATCAGGCCGATTAAATCATCGTTTAACTCTGTCAAAACCCAATTTTGACCAAGTCAAGTACATTTCTATTAAATTAATCGTCCAACCCATTCAAGGGTTCGAGCCACTGATTTTTCGGTCCGATTGACCGGGCTTTATAACTATACTTGGATTTCTAAGGAAAATAATGGGTTCCTCACCACTTGAACGTGAAGTGCTTCAGTATTATTTATGTGCTTTATATCTATCTAACTAATCGTTTATAGGTTTTATAAAAATATTTTTAAAAAAAACTTTGATCCAAACTTTTACTTTATTTTATAGATCTAAATAATTAGTGAAAAATAAATTAAAAACTTTTGCCCTTGAAAAAATTTATACTTTATATATATATTTTAAGGTTTTATCTAATGATCCCACCGATTAAACCACTGACTCGTTGGTTTGACCAGTAACCCAAAACCCAATACTTTGTTCGGATCGATATTCGGGTTGAGTCTAATAATTGTGCTTGCAAGTTTCAATGTAACTACCAGGTTAGTAATTCGAAGTTGAGTGTTAAATTTGTTGAAAAATTAGTACTAAAAGCGCATCAGCATTAAAATGAAAAATCGCATTATGGGGAAAATAAATTTCAGAGAATCCCGTCATTATGCGATTCTAGCCTCTCTGTTGGCACCTCTTGTTCTACGCCATCGTTTCCCGTACTCACATGTTTCGTGCACCGAGGCAAGGCACAACTCTAATAGCCAAATGTACAGCTCCAATCATATCTGATGTTCTATTTCTCCGTTTACAATCAACTCTACCCAAGCCCTAATTATACTCTACTCAATGCATACGCTCGCATATACATACACAAAGCATTGTATATAGAATTAAATATATATGCATTCAATGGAGGTCTTGAAATTGAATGCACGAGATGACGGGGAGGAATACCACGATGCGCTTGATGATTTTCCATTTTACGACTGTGTCGAAACCTTTTCCGAACCAATCGGATTCGATGATGCCTTGTCGCATTCAAATAAAACTTCACCTACATCGACTCTCCGCCGCCGCCGATCTGCTGATCATCGACCATCCTCCGATATTGACAAGGTGGAGTACTCAAAGCCAAGTTCCTCGGCGAGTTTGAAGAATTACGTGAGAAAGCCCGGACTATCACGCAAAATTAAGGAAAGCGATAGGCAATTTGAAAACTTGGAGAATTTGGAGTCTTCTGGTTCTGTGGAGGTCAAATACTGCTTGGGAAGTTCAGAAAATAATGCAAATCGAGAAGATATAGAGAAGAATTGCGAAGTGTCTGTAATTATGGATGCAAACAATGAAAGGATTGATGTTGTTGGAGATGGTTTGAATTTGAGGGAAACTAGTGATGCAAATTCAAGTCTTCTGTTATTATTAGCTGGTTCAGTAATAAAAGCCATTGGCTTTCAAGTTAATTTGATGGTTGGTTTTTTCATGTTTCCAATTTGGTTAATTTATTACTCATGCTTGTTTGCAATTAATCCGTTTGGGGTTTTAAAGCGTTCTAGACGGCATTTACTTCGAAAAATAACTAGAATTTGGACTTTTGTATGCAAAAATGTGTCTCCATCTGTGTATGAATGGTTAAAAGAGCACAAGTCAATGTGGAAATTGGGCTTGAAGTGTGGTTGGGGATTGTTGTGGTCAGGTTATGTGTGTGTTGTATTGACAGGATTGTTGTTTTCTGCATTTGCAATCGGTGGATTACTTATTAGGATGGTGGTGGAGGAGCCAGTAAGAATGAAAGGAAGTTTAAACTTTGATTACACGGAGAAGAGTCCGGTGGCATTTCTACCAATAATAGCATGCCCTGAGGTAAGTCAGGATGCATATCTTGTGAAGAACCCTGAAATTGGGAAGGATGGTGGGTTGAGGGTTATACCTTCTAACCACAAGTTGCAGGTTACAGTTTCATTGACAATGCCCAAATCTGAGTACAACCAAAATCTTGGGATTTTTCAGGTATGCATTATGTCTCGTTACCTGTGGTTCGTAGTGTTGTGGTGACCTTTGCATTACATTATGTTGTGAAATTAGGTCTGTAATAGTAATCTGCCAAATAGATAAGTCCACATTGTTGAAATTTTATCCTGTCCAACCAGTGGCCGAGTTCAGTAGCGGCAAATATTAACAATCAAACGAAGCAATACACTATAATATTAACTATTGCAATTTTTACAATTGTTCTCTATGACTTTCATACTTTGAAAATGCCGTATAATGACATCATTTTCAACTGCATCTTTCTCAATTTAGAAAACCAAGTTATCATGCATCCGTTGATTCCAAATTAAGCATATGCACAACACATTAAAACAAACCTAATAATAATCCACTCAACTGAAGAAAGTCCAATCCAAATTAAAGCAAGCCTAACAATAATCCACTCTAAGTAAGCGAGTCCAGTTCAAGTTAAAACATAAGGACATTAAATTAAGCCTAACAGTCCACAAACTGCTATTATAGAACCTTATAATTTTGTAAGTTATAAGAGTTTTACCCCATGCTTTGAGAAGGTTGTTTCCTTTCCATGAGCAGAGAGGTTTTCCACTCGTTTTGCCATTTTTGGATTAGCTCATTCGAGTGATGTTCAGGATAGGCTATTTCCACATGCACAGTTAGCGGTACAGCTTTTCCCACATGAGATACCTGTTATGCCACTGACTTGGCTTCAGCTTTCTTGCGTTTGCGATAGTTTTTTTCCTTTCTCATCAAACACCTCATTTGATCTTTAAAATTCAACTACATTGACCCTTAGGAAATGTAAATGCAGTGATCAAATTGTGGCTTGGTGCAAGTTTTCTTGCCTAATTGTATTGCATGAAGCATCACCCATCTCTTTCTACGCCTTGTTCACTGGAAAAGTAAAAAAATTATATTGCACAGTTTTGCCTGTTTACTAAGTGTGATCTGGAAAGAGAAGAATATGATATCTATAAGAATATCATTTATGACAATGCAATTGCTTTTCTTTAAAATTTTGTGGCATCATTTTTTACCTTTTACTGAAATCCATTGGTACTCGTCTTCTGGATTTCTGAATGTTTTGTGCTGATATGGAATTTATGAGGCATTAACTGTTTTTTTTTTTGCCATTTTGAGGATATAATGCTCGATAGGAAGTAGTTTGATATAACATCAGGGCATGCCAGATGTAGGAATAAGTCTTTGTTGAATTGGTTGGATACGTGTTTTTAATTATTCAATAGTTTATTGGTTTTTCCTTCTCCACTGAAGGTTAGAGTAGATTTCCTAGCTGCCGATGGTAGAATTCTTGCAAGCTTAAGGCGTCCATGCATGTTGCAATTTAGAAGCCTGCCTATCCGCCTTTTGCTGACTTTTCTAAAAATTGCTCCTATTTTAACTGGTTATACATCAGAATCACAGAAATTGGACGTAAACCTCAGAGGATTTATTGAAGGTGCCATGCCAACTGCCTGCATAAAGGTGATTATTGAGCAACGAGCCGAATTCCTTCTTGGTGCTGGTATTCCTGAAATATATGAAGCATCTGTATCCCTGGAGTCAGAACTTCCTTTGCTGAAAAAACTTGTATGGTATTGGAAGAAAACATTAACTGTATGGATTAGCTTGACTCTCTTTACAATGGAGTTGCTTTTTACTCTTCTCTGTTGCAAACCTCTCATTATCCCAAGAATAAGACCAAGGGAATATTCTCCCAACAATGGTGCTTCACAGAATGATCACTCAGTTCGGAGGTAATAGTCTAGCAGGACCTCGTTTTTGGCTAATTTAATCATAGTGAGAGTGATCACAAGTAGGATCTTTTTGTACTTGACACACATGCTGATGTGTTTGTGTATGAGAAGTATACTATCAGTATCTCAATATCCATGTTTTTTCATATGTTCGAAAACTTCTAGATGTAAAAATGCCCAAAATGGGGAATGTACAGCCAGTATGCACACATTTTTTTTTCGAATTGGTCTATAGTTTGCTTGCCAGTTCATTTATGTTTGACAAATTGCTGAATATTATCCTTGATACAGTACTATACTTCTAATACTACTTACTACTGTGACTGCACTATAAATTTTGGAAGATACCACTGTCATGAACTCTTGGATTGAACTCACCCTTCAAATTGGCTTATAAGGAGAGGGTGCTCAATGTGGCTCATAAATCTACAAGGGAGGCCTTCCATAACAATGTGGAATTCTGGAATTCAGTAGTAGTTGTTACTTATGGTGGAATCCATTTCTTTTGTTGAATTTCGTTTTCAGTATTCAGATTCTAACAGCTTATTGTGTTGTTTATCGTTAGATAAAAAGTATTGCAGTCTTGGAAAACTAGCCATCGCAATTTGCTCAATGAAATGCTCATGGAGGTAAGATTTGTACTCTCCACTCCCTGCTTCACCCCCAATTAGATCAAATACTATTGATTATATAGAGTGGCCAAGTAGTAAGTACCTGCCATATCCTCTAAACTGGTTTCACAAGCAGGCACACTTATAAATGAATGGCTGAAGGCAGGCTATCTTTTCCCCCTTGCTCTTGAAATGCCAAGCTTAGTCCTAGTTCGTGTATGTCAATTCCAGTTTGAAATAACTCCATTCAGAACACAACTGAATTTGCAAATAACAATGCCACAGAGCCATATATAGCGCAAGGTTTTCATTTTAGCATTTATTTATTTATTAAAGTTTTTTTTACATAACGTTTATAAGAGAAGAGTAAAGTTCTAAAATTTTAATGAAGTTTACTCTTACCTAATACATCAAGCTATACTAAGCCTTTGTTTGGTACGTATTCTTTTAAAACTCATTTTGAACCACATATTTTTCAATAAAATAATATTTTTCATAATATCAATAATTTTTCTTTACTTTTTAACAATATATTTCGATCGTATTACTATTTAAATTGCATTCTTTTCTCAATAATATCCATCAAACAAACCATAATTCAAACCAGAAAACAGGAAATAAACCGAAATTATCAATTGGGCCTGTTAAGGGCCTAGATCTTGGGGAAAGCAGCAGTCTTGCTGATTTCCCGTAAAGGTTTGTCAGTGAATCTGATGATGTTATAGGCCCAAGCACCCGCTACAGCCCCAAGAGTTGGGCTTACGATGTATATCCATATTCCCTCGTAACGATTTGACACTATTGCTGGGCCCAAACTCCTTACTGGGTTCATCGAAGCCCCAGATATTGGCCTGTCCATCAAAACTACCCATTAGGCCCACATTGAGGAATTATAACATAAAAAACTTTATATACAAGAATAGCAATATAATTGAGCATGGTACGTACCCTGCAAACATCACATTAAGTAAAATAGTTGCTCCTATGGCTACACCCGCAAGTTCTCCAATCTGCATGGCAGCCGAAAAATAATAGTCTTAAGATGATAAGCACAACTATTTGTACACGAGAAAATACCATAAAGCTACATAGGTGCTAACGTGACAGATTTTGGTTGACTTTTTTAAATCTATTTTTTGTGCAAAGTCCAATGAAATCCTGCACCTAGCATTTTGTAAATGTGTCATTTTCTCCAGTTCATGTAGCAAAGTCGATAAAAATGATCCATATCATTTTCAACATAGATAAGCTTTTAATTTAAGTCAAAGTCAAGCAAACATTATTAATTATATCTTTCATGGGTCCCACATCTTTTCAACTACACATTTCAAAAACTTCTATCACAATCCACTAAAAATCTAATTTTAATCACTACCAAACACCCTCTTAGATAACTCTATATAGTGTCTTGAAAGACCAAGAATAAAGTGAAGGAATTACAGCACGGTTGTCCGTAGCCACTCCAGATATGACAAACATTAGGTAGAATGTGATTATAAATTCCACCACAAAAGACTGCAAGTCGGAGCCGGTTGGAAGTGTTCCGGCAAAGTGATCGTGTTTTCCTATGAACAATAATCTTAGGGTACCGCTTGCTAGCGTGGCTCCAATCACTTGTGCTGCAATATATGCAGGTACCTATTAAGACGACGAAGAAGAAATTAAGAGCACGTTCGTTCAGTACATATATTCTATAATTCTGTTGAATATACCGACTTCACCTGTCTAAGTGGGAACCTCTTGCAGGTGGCAAAAGCAATGGTTACAGCCGGATTAAAATGAGCACCGGAAATATGGCCAACTGAGTAAACCATAGCCATGACGACAAGTCCCCACACTATTGCGATTCCTGGCATGGTTATCACCTTGTCCTTATCGGCGTTCACCACCACTGCGGCGCAACCAGCAAAAATCAAGAAGTATGTACCCAAAATCTCTGCAATTACCTACATATATATTTTCGGCTATCAGATTTATAATTAATTACCAAGAATTAACATTTATATATATGAACATGTTTGGTTCTCGCTACATGCCTATAGCAGCCAAAAGAAATTCACCAAAAGATGGAATCTCAAATCTTAATATAGTATCACAGCCTATTAAGCTTCAACGATCCATTCGATCCGACTAATACTCAAAAAAATAGCATGCGGATTTCAAAATTGATTTGCTCAAACGAGTCACCATCTTGCACGGACATGTTAAGAGATAAAATCCCACGTCGAATAAAAATGATAACATAGTCCAACTTATAAGGGTTTGAGCTACTGCTCTTAATAAAATTGATCTTTTAAGATGAAATCTCAAAGTCTTGACAAGATTTAGCCTTCACTACTGTCATCGGCTTGAACGGAAATGCAAAGAAAGAACATAATAGTTAAAAATTATGGTTTGCAGCATGAATGAGTTTGTGTTTTCTTCGCAGCTCTTGTGGGTTGGGAGGATAAAGAAACAACATACGTACGTACCTTTTGTATAAAAGGTAACCAGGCTGGAGAATTTTGAATGCGCTTCTCATCCGCTAAACCATTTGCTCCTGACATTTCAGCCATAATTCTATGAAAAAATTGAGTGATTGAGAGAAAGAGAGATTTTTTTCTGTAACCTAACCAAGGAGTGCTAAAAAATCCAGCAGAAAATGTCCAATTTATGCTAATCATACAGAGAGAGAGAGAGAGAGAGAGAGAGGGAGAGAGAATTAATTGGATGAATAATACTCCAACTCAGGGAAAGGGATGGAGGGATAGGGTGACGCAACAGATAGTAATTGGGTGTTGTGTTTTTATTTATTTTTTTTAAACTGTTCAATCATGTGTCGACACGTGTCCTATTTTAAAATTTATCTTTGAGTTTGTCCGTACAGCATAATTGTTAATTGGCTATAAATCAGTAACAGTTCTGCACAGATCAGTTTGACTGTGTATGAAATTTCATGCGATGTACCCTTCCTTTTTAAGTTATCGGATAATGTTGAAAAGTGAAAAATCTTCATTCAAGTTTGAAGCATTCAAGTCTGCTAATATTCATTCTACGTGGCCCAGTTTGGTAAGTAATTCTTGAGAATAAATTTTATGAATTTTTTTTTTTTTTAATGTATGGTTGAAATATAAAAAAATATTTTGAATTTACATGTAGAGTTATTTTAGCGAGAGAATATATGATTGAAAATAAATTTTAAAAAATGAGAATCAAACAAAGCCTTCAACAAAGTACAAATAAATTTACAATGTCAAATTAACTACTTTATTTTTTGAATTCACTAAAAAATTATTTTCCTTTAATTAATTTTGTATCTCTTTCAAATATCAGGTAAATCGGTCTAGGTATTTCAATACTCGAAATCGCCGATTGCACTTCGAGTGTTTGATTAATAGAATTAATATTTTTGTTAAAAAAAAATTTATTGACAATACAAATTATTTTAAAATATCTAGTAGAAATGAAAAAATCAAATATGTCGTCAGACATATTTCACCATTTTCTTAATTCAATTCACTACAATATATGTCACCATATCTACCATAATAACATTCAATTCTGGTTGTAACTTTGCACGCAACGTCTCAAGAAGGAATTTTGAGATAGTCATGATGTATTGTGCGATCAGAAGTGACTATGAATGAAAATGATATGAATCAATTATTCAAATGAATGATTCAATCCCGATTAAAATATCACCCCTCTGTGTAATATGATTTTAAAGATAATATTAGTTCTTAATGATTTGATTTATTCAAACTACGAATGAGATTTGATTTGTACAATTTTTAGTCGTGGGACTGACTTGTCTTAAGAAATTACCATCAACCAAGAATATTCTATAACCTACGTAAAATTAATTTATATAGACAATTATGTTGTCGCTATCAAATGTTTGAAATTAATGTTTACACATTTATGGCCGATCAAAGGATGTCTAGATAACAGGTAAGCAGCTACTTCTCTGTATCTTCATAATTATGAAAATTAATTAAGAAAAAATTAATCTAAATTCTCGACTTTCATAGGTTATTAATATATTCTCGATTTTTTTAATTGATCTATGTGCAATTTATTAATTATTTACAATTTGTAAGCACTTAGACATTTGGCAAACAAACCAAAATAATTAGCCGTAAAAATAAATAAATAATTTTTTTGGTGGAGCATTTCAACTATCTAAGTTAGAAATTAACAAAATTAGAATACTGATAGTATGATTTAGTGAAATAATTTTACTAATAATTTTTTAAAAGAAAAAATGTGATTTGTCTTTTGGTGGGGTAGNATGATGATAAGGCTTCTTCCCCTTCGAATTCGAGGGTGAATTTTTCTCACCCTGTGGAGATTGATGAAGTGTATAAAGAGTTAGAATTTATGATGAAGTAAGATTGCAATGCAAAATAATGATTTTATGATAATTTCGAATTTGTCCGATTTTGACGAATTGATAGTTTAATTCAATTGGAAACGAGCCAATGATCATAACTCATAGCCTTTGGCTATAATGTACGTCGAATTTCGGGCGGATTCCATCTTTTAGGCCCTCGATTAAGCGTTTTTGCTGTTTATGATAATTTTTATTCTAGCAATATCTCATTTAATAAAATTCGAATTTGGATTCCGTTTGTTAGATGGCGATCTTGAATTTTAGGAGTTTCAATTTAAGTCAAAATCTCGAATTTTTCCATTTATGGAAAAATATAGTTTTTTTTTATTATTTATTTTAAGAATTTTGTTACGGTTTTACTATTTAAAGTATTGTAAGCCCTTTGAGTCATTTTATTGAATTGAATAAAAAATTTCGTGAGTTTTTTCACATGTTTGTGAGGTTGTTCATTTTTCTTATAATCTTCCGCTACGTCACAAATCCATTTGGTTCTTGTAATAAAGTTATTTGATCCCAAGACGGCCACATGCTGAAAAAGAAAAGTAGAAAAACAATAACAATGCAAGTCAATATTTAATTAATGAATTGGGAATAATCAAATTCAAGATGGAATCTATGCTATTGTATTTTTCATTAATGTTTTGTATATACCATTGATAGTATCTCTATAAAATACTCTTCTAAATACATCTTGTCGTACTCAATTTGGGGATAGCCTTCCATGCACAAGGACCTGCAAGCTAAGGTATGAGATAAACGCACAATATACCCTGGGTAAGAAGCTTACAACTGCACCTGCATATTGGACATCGTCAATATGCTTTCCAATAATTTGACCTTAGCAATCTTGCTATGCCATATGAGTAGGGAAGTTCGTTGCTAAACATACATGTTTATGACATTTAGTCTTTGTTTGACAATACTTTTTGAATTTATAAGTTTGTGAGTCTCATAAAATATGCAGTTAAATAGATAAAAATTATCATTTCAATAAAATGCGTAGTTGAAAATTTAACTATCTAGCAATCTCAAAAATAGTTGTGTCTAACAATGGCTTAAATATTGAGTTCAACCACGATGCTTTTGAGTTCACGGTGGAGCTTGACAAACTCGTAAATCTTGTGTAGTGAATTGCATGTCTCAAATTTAAGGGTTGCTCTAAAAGACTTTGAATTTTGAGATCGATTATCCACATTATGTAATGATTTTTAACATTAGTAGCGCTTAACATCAGTTTAGGTGATAGTGAAATCACTCCCAATTTAATCTAATGAAATTATGATGCATTTTTATTCATTATCCATCCAAATAAGGGAATGTCATGTACCCATTGGTGATTAACATCCATTTAGGTGACATGGTTACATTGTTCAATGAATAAAAATGCATTCTAACTTCATTGAACATCGTGGCACCAGCCCATGCCGCATTGTAAGTATTCAGCACTCAACAATGAGGAAAATTTGTGTTCCCAAAGAGCATTAATCCCTATCGATGACTAAACCCGCAGCTTATTCTTGAATGCGCATGCAGCCAAATTCAACTGGCATACAAAATCCAACTTCTTACATTCACCACTTTGAGCAATAAATTCAAGAGTGAAGTTTGTTTAATCCAATTCCATGATTTCATCTTTTCCAGAGTCTTTGACATGGGTTTGGGAATGTTACTATTATTCTCGTAATTTTACGTTTTCACACTTGCAAATTGACTGCTACTGCAGCCTTAAAACTTCAAATACAGTTGATCCCATGATTCATGGACCATGAACCCCACTTTCCCTTTCCATTATGAGGAAATTGCCTCCTCTCTATTAAGTATTAACTAACAAGGAGGTGCAAGTCTTTGAGTATTAAAGGCAATGTTTGATGTAGTCAAGCTCATTTCTAGAATATCATGAAGCTGTCAAAAGCTATTATTTGACATTTTCATTTCTTTAGTTAGACCCTTTATTTCTGGGACCCTTCTGGTTTTAGGACTTGGGGTATATTGCTGGTTTCGTCTCTAACTTTTGATCACTTTTCCACAAACCGAACTCTTCCTTCCAATTAAAATCATATCAAGAAATCCTGACCCATATTTGGGAGAAAAGACCCATAGCAAAATGGGGTAACATTGGATGTTAAATTGACCAACAAGGATTCTGATCATATTCATTAACTAAACAAGGAGATGAAAGTCTTTGAGGATTTAAAGGCCATGTTGATGTGGTCAGGCATTCAGGCTCTTTTCTAGAATAGGATTAAGGACTCAAAAGGCCAACTTTTTAATTTCTTTAATAAGTTGTGTGTTTTCCTCTGCATTGTGTTTAGGCTTCCCCCCAATACAACATCAATTAAATTAAATTAAAAAGTGAATAAAGTTTACTATTTTTACACATACGCCAAACAGAGACCCTTCAAGCCTTAAATTTGGAAATTTCATCTCCACGTCACAACGTTGTCACCTTGAATAGCCACGGAATATTCACTTATCATATCACTTCGCCTATCCACCGCATCACCTAAACCAAGCCTTAGTCCATCCACCTTACCTCACCTCCTCGAATAGCCTTGGTATGTGTAAGTGTTATGCTCTTGTCCAATCAACTTTGGACATAAACACTTTGAATATATATATAATCAATGCATATGTATGGCAATATCTATTATTTAATTGAATTAATATTCTAATAAATTAAATAATAGAATCCGTAGATTCAAGTCTTGGTGATTTGTTAATCACAAGGAGTTGTGATTGTGAGATACAAATTACATATGACTGAATCTTAAATCGTCCGTGGTCGAGGTAATAACGAGATACGGATATCGTT